GAGCAAGCCACCAGGTTTGGAATTCAAACTGCAGTCAGTCATGTGGGAGTCCAGCATGTTAAGCACCACCCCACCTGTCAGTCCTAGTCATTCTGGACTTTGCTCTGGTATTCCTTTCCACTTCAAATTTGATTCTCTGGAACATTTAAGGAAACAATCAAAAGAAAAAGACCAGATATGACTAATGTATTTTAGAAGAAAATTAGGAAAAACAAATAAGTATATAGAAATTAAAATCTGAAATTCCAAGACTCAGGAAAAAATCAATTTTAACAATTGGGTGAATTCAGAGTTATTTTGGTACATACACAAATATCCAAATGTGCAATTTTACAAGAGATAGCTCTGGTTATCTATTTATTATTTTGTGAAAATTTTTTTTGTTGTTCACTTAAGATTTCTCTAACCAAAAAAAAAAGTTTTTAAAACTGCTTTTTACATCTTTTTAAAATACTTAATAGATATAGCCTAGTACTTACCCTTATTCAACATCTCTCATAAATTTTCTTTTCGCCTTAATTTATTCTTTGAAGCCTGAAACCAGAGGCAAGATAGAAATAGTCAAAATTTTATTCCTGAACCTATTTTTTTAAATATGCTTTACAAGTCTTCTTTTATACAAAATACACTTGCATACAAAAGCAACAGAGACCACATTTATGATAAGGATATCATTTAAAATGAATCAGTGAGGGGTCCATACAGGCAATGGCATGGCAGTAACACAACTGTACTGCATGGAAAAAGCTCTGAGTTTATATCCCAGAAAATGAATCAATGAGGTTTGCAAAGACCTTGCAGAAAAAACACTTTACTAGTTTCCTGACTTTATTTTAGCTTATAACCAATATAAAAGTAAAGGTATTCAGGCCAACTCTGTAATGTAGTAGTTAAGCCCTAGGGAGTCATAGACCATGTGGCTGACCATGATTCAAGTCCCAACCTCAGTGGCTTGAAAAATATGCTGGGCGCATGTGCATGTTTGCCCAAGATCCTGAAGGGATGGAGAAATGGAGGGAAAGGGATTCCAGCCTGACTACACCCCTCTGAGGGAATGCTTTCTCTCTCTCCTCTGTCTGTCTCTGGTGACCACAAGTACCCTCTGGCAATTAAACACATATATAAAATTATGAGTAACTAGCAGAATAACTTATTAAGAAATGTGGGGGCCAGACACACTCTGGGAGGCTGACCTACATGGGAAGATTTCAAGTTTGCATCTGGAGGCCTCTGAACACACTGGGCACTCATGTGTCTGTGATCTGGATCTTGCTGAGTATGGGGATGAAATGCTGCACAAAGACTCTTGGGGGTGTCTGTCTCTATCTCATGAAATAAAGAAATAGACTTTGGAAAAAATACTGACATGAAAAATACTCATTTTAAAAATCAATTTTCATCATTTTCAAGTAAAAGAAATCTAGAAATTGCTTCTAAGATTAGTTTAAGAAATGGATAAAAGCACAATAACTAACATAAAATATTGGTCTGTGTATTTTTTACTTCTTTTGCATCTCTTGTGTGTTCTGGGGCACCTTGCTATTTAAACGACTGTTTGCTGATTGGATGAGTGATATTTGCCATTACGACCTCATCTCAGGAATCAGATAATGTGGAAATACACCTTCTGTATCCACCATCACCACCTTTTAACTCCACTATTATTTGTAGAAGATGGCCTCTTCTCAATAGTGAGAAGGCACTCCCCAAAGTAGCCTTCACCACCTCTGGAAGCCAGGGAAGTTTTAATCTGGTGGCCTACCAGTTATTACCCCTTTAGAGGCTTCCATGAAGATGTATGCAGGCATTTCTCTGATTCCTTGTATCTAGAACATAGGGGGATGTTTATGTCTTTCAGACCTACTCTTTAAGATGTTACAGCACTGAATCTTTTCCCTTCTGGAGTCTGGATGTCTTTTGTTCCCTGTTCACTCTTCTGTATGTTTCTAGGTGCAACAGGAAGTAATTCAATTTTCCCAGCCTCTGTTGCCTTATCTTTAAAATGAGAAGCTTGAAATAGATAACTTTTAACTTTCTTTCATTTCTAAAATTACAGAGATGTCAATGCTTATAAAGAAATATGTGGGGACCAGCAGTTAGCATAATGACTATGTCATTGGACTCCCATGTGGTCGACAGCGTTTCGAGTCCGGGACCCAGTGGCTTAAACTCACACCGAGCGCGTGTGTGTGCATGCCCAAGATCCTGAGAGGAGAATGGAGGAGAAGGGATTGCGGCGTGGCCATCCCCCCTGGGGGGGGATTTCTCACTTTTTGTCTGTCTGTCTGGGGAGCGCATGTGCCCTATAGCAAAAACCTCTCCAAAAAAAAAGAAAAGAATGTGTGACGTGCTACACAACCAAGCAGGCATGGACAGGTGCATCCTCCCCATTTTTGAAAGCTTTGGTCTGAATCATTTCTTCCTCATTATGGAAATGCAGTAAGGTATTCTTTGTTTATTTGTATGTATTTTGTTTTGGCTTTATTTATTCCTGTAATAATACTTACCATTTATCCATTGCTTATAATACGCTAGGCACTCTACTTTAAATGTGTGATTAGCTTAATCCTCAAATAGTATTTTTTATTATCACCATTTTACAAATGAAACTGAGGGACAGAAGGAAACTGAGGGACAGAAGGGCTAAGTAATTTATCCAAGATTGCCCAGCTAATAAGTGGTAGAGCTGGAATTTGAATTCAGATCTCTCTGACATGTAAGTCATCATACCTCAAAAAAGGAAAATTACATTCCATGATTACTTGTTAGAAATGTGATTTCCGAAAGAATAAAGAATCATTTATCGTAGGTACTATAGTTTCACAATAGGAACACGGGGCTAAAGTTTCACAAAAAGTGTAACCCTTTCACTTACAAGGTTTTCGACCTTAGGCAAAACAATATCTACAGTACATACCTTATAACATTGCTGAGAGATAGAGAGTGTGTGTGTGTGTACATAATACATACATATGTGTCTTTATACACATCTGTATGTTTTTAATTTGCCAGAGGGTACATGCACTCACCTGATAAGGAACAGAGAGAGGCAGAGGGAGAAAGCACCCATGAGTGGGGGGGATTGAAAGGAGGCCATGCTGCAATCCTTTCTCCATTTTGCCATCCTTTTAGGATTTGGAGCACACACACACATGTGCTAAGCATGTTTTTCAAACCACCAAGTCTGGGATTCAAACTGTTCAGTTGGCCATATGGGATCCAGCTCCCTAAACCACCAGGCCCTGGGGGGCAACCCTATAATATAATTTTTGATGTTTTCATTTTGTCATTTTTTTCTTTTTTTTAGTTCTATGAGAGAGAGAGTGTGAGACAGAGATATACACTCACAGTGAGGCTGTGATTTGCACTGCAGTCTCAGCCAGCCCAAATCATGGGCATACGTGCACAGGGAGGTCTCTAGCCAACTGTCAGGAACCTCCCTGTGTGGATCTGTCTTGCAGAGTATCACGTTTCACCATTGCACCATTGTCCAGTCCTTTTTTATTTCTTTTAGTGTTCCGCAAACCATGAAATCCCATAGAAATGTAATGTACTGATACTTTTTCTTATCATTTCTACTTTCTCTCCTTTCTTAGCGTATCAATTATACTTCTTTTTAAAATTTTTTGTAGTAGTTGCCCTAAAGTTTGCAGTACACATTTACAACTAATTAAGTCTACTTTCAAACAGTGTTTTCAACTTTGCAAGGGCAAATACCTTATTATTACAAAATATTCTTAATCCCTTCTGGCCATCTCTTATACAATTACTGTTATTTATTTAATTTGTATTTGTAAACTATAATTATCAAATACATTGGTGCTATTATTATTTTGAACAAACTCTCTGTTAGGTCGATTAAGAAATAGAAGTTTCTTTTACCTTCACTTATTCTTTTTCTGTTGCTCCTTTTATGTAGATCCAGATTTTTGACCTATACCATTTTCCTTTTCTCTGAAGAACTTGTTTTAATATTTCTTACAAGGCAAATCTACTGGCAACAGATTCCCTCAATTTTGTTTGCAAACATCTTTATTTCTCCTCCACTTTTGAAGGATATTTCTCAGAAAACAGAATTCTAACTGGTGATGTTTTTTTTTCTCTCAACAGTTTAAATATTGTTCTCTGCTTTCTCCTTGCTTGAGAAGTTGGATTTAATCCTTATCTTTGCTCCTCTGGCTTTTTTTCAATAAATTTTTTTTCTTTATCTTTGAATGCTCTGGCATATTGCAAATGGTTACTCTTCCCTTACCACTTCCAGAAGCATGAAGATTTTTCTCTGATATTCACTGTGAGAACCTGGGTGAGAGTAGGCTCCAAACATTGAGCTTTCCTTCCCCATCCCTCTTCATTCTATCTTCCTCAGAGTCAGCTCCTGGTCTGCCTGGGTCTGGTGAACATCCTGTGACCATGCCACTCACCTCATGGTACTGGCCTACTGCCAGGGCCATTCCAAAGGTAGGCACACCCCCTCCCCCCATTAACATCACAAGATTAAGGTCACTGAACCCTAAATGTTCTCTGTTGATTCTGTCAATCGATAAGCTAACCTTTATGGTAACCTTCAAGCAAATACAAACCAAATTCTGTCTTAGTGACAGGGAGTCTGCATTGAACTTTAATTGATTGATGAGTGCTTGTTCTTAACTGTATAAAACTTGAGCCTGCACTCACGGAGGGTGGACCATTCTCCTCGCAGCTATCAGAGGAGCGTTATTTCTCCAACGTAAGTAAACTCATGTCTTCTCCAGCTGGACCTCAGGGTGTGTTCTTTAGAATCAGAAAACATTATGGGCAAGCCCTCTCAGGTTCGGGGTTCCCATAGAATACTGAGAAACCCCCTAGAGGTAAAACTTGCAAAAGTGCAGGGAACCTCTACACCTGACTTCTGCTAAAGTCTTTTTAACTTCCAGCTGAGTCTCACAATTCTTCTATTACAGTTCCCGTGGAGCACTGGTTCTCTCAGAGGTTTCACTTATGGGGTTCTGCTCTGGTATGTTATGATTCTCTCTCTGCCTGTCTCTGATTTTGAAGGCAGTGGTTTGCCCTGTAACCTCACTTCTATAACAAATCTAAGAAGTGTTGTTCATTTTCAGTTTGTTTAGTTTTCTACTTATGGTTAGGACGGAGTGATGGCTTCCAAGTGCCTCACATGATGGACCAGAAACCAGAAGTCTCTTTGTAACCTGCATGATTTAGATTTGGGCCATTTCTGTTACTTCCTATGCATCTGTACAGAGTAGGGTCTAGGCTATAAATTGCTTAAGTACAAAATTCATGACTTTTGACAACTTGGGGGAGACTACAGTAGTAAACCAAGCAATTGTTTTAAAATGGTTTTTCGGGGGCCGGCAAGTGGAGTGATGGTTAAGGTGCAGACTCCCACATGGCTGACTGCAGTTTGAGTCCCGGATTTGGTGGCTTGCTTTCTCACTTTCCCTCCCTCTTTTTCTCCCTCCCTCTGTCTCTCTCTGGTAAGCACGTGTGCCATATAGGAAATTTAATAATAATCAATAATTCTTTAATAATTCTTTAAAATAAAATAAAATGATCTTTTTGGCCAGCCCCATAGTGGTTGAGGGAGCTGGATCCCACATGGCCAACTACAGTCCTAATCCCAGCCTTGACAACTTGAAAAACACACTGGGAGTGGAGGGAAAGCAGCCAGTGGCATATGGTTAAGGTGACTGAATCCCACACAGCCAGCTGCATGGTTTGAGTCCCAGATGCAGCAGCTTTAAAACATAGTGAACACATGTGTATGCATGCCCAGAATCCCAAGAAGAGAAAGAAGGAGAAGGGATGCAGCATGGCCATTCCCCCTGAAGAGTGATTTCTCATGTTCCCTCTCTGGTATACCCTAAAAAAAAAAAATCATTAAAAAAGAAAGAAAAACACACTAGGCATGTGTGTGTGTATCTCAAATCCTGACAGGATGGAAAAATACAGGAGAAGGGATTGCAGTGTAATCTTGCCCCCTCCCTAGCAAGTACATGTACCATCTGGCAATTAAAGGGGGAAAAATGGCCTTTTGAGGAAAATTCTGGTTCTATCAAGATAGAACAGACCCATTCCTCCTAGGTCCTCCCTAAAAAAAAATGAGCATAACACAAAAATCAAGTGTAAAAAAAAGTGGGAAAAAAGAGGGAAAGATGGGGAAAAGTTGATCTCAGGACTTAAGAAATAGCATGGTAGCGAATTCCCTGGGTTTCCTTATTTCCTCCCACATTCTAGACAGGGTACTGCAGAAGCCTCCAACTCAGCACCATGAACAGGCATAGACAAAACAGAGAGCTAAGAAAGGCCTGTTTTCTAGAAAAAGAATGGGGAGGGGGGGGAGTGGCCTAACAATAGAAAACCTTATTGGCAATACTTGTACTAGTCCAGTCAAACACTGATGACGCAACTGTACTTTCCACCCCCAACATGGTTTCAGCAGAGGCAACCAGGGAGTTGATCTTCCACCCACCGCCTAATCCATGGAAGTGGGAGGCAGCTCTCCAGTTCCACTGCGGATGGTCTTAGCAGGCCTGGCAGGGGAGCTGACCTTTCATCCCCTGCATGGAAGAAGCAGGCAGTGCTCCAGTTCCCTCAGCAGGTAGTGTCAGCAGATCGGCAGATGAGCTTACACCACCTATCAGAGGCAACGAGGCAGTAAGAGTTGGTACGCCGTCGAAGGCAACAGAGGGGCAGGGTGCTGCTCCTAGTGTCCAAAGGAGGGAGAATAGAACTTCAGTTTGTTTTTCTGCGGCTGTAACTAACTAAATGTCACAGACTGGGTAATTTGTAAGGAACGAAAGTCCAAGATTGAGGGGCCACATATGGTGAGAACCTTCTGGCTGACGAGGGCTCTCTGCAGACAGGGGGGCACCAGGCATCACATGGAGAGCATGCCCAGAGCCTGTGTCTGTTCTGGCCTCTCCATCTTATACAGTCATCAGTATTCAGTCATGGGGCCCCACCCTGATGACCTTGTCTAATCCTAATTACCTTCCAAAGGCCCCACTTCTTGATATAATACCACAGTCAGATTAAGTTTTCACCCTCCTAATACTAACCAAATTTCAACCCATGAACATTTGGAGGACACATTCAAAGCATAACATCTCACCCCTGTTCCCCCAAATCCTTGTTCTTCTCACATGCGAAGAACATACATTTCATCCCAATGGTCCCAAGTCTTAAATCATTCAAGCATTGACTCAAAAGTCCAAAGTCCAGCTGCGATCCTGTGAAATCAAAACAAATTGCATGCTTCCAAAATATAGTGAGACAGACTTAGGATAAATATTCCCACTCTACAAGAGAAAATGGAGTAACAGACCCCAAGCAAATCTGAAACTCAAGAAGGCACACATTAAACCTTAAAACTCCAGGAAAATCTTTCTGCTTGGGACCAGCAGATGGGGTTATAGCTGGACTCCCATGTAGTTGAAACAATTCAAGTCCCAGATCCAGCGACTTAACACTCACACCATGTGTGTTCGTGCCCAAAATCTCAAAAGGAGAATGGAGAAGGGATTGCAGCATGGCCATCACCCCTGGTGTGTGTGTGTGTGTGTGTGTGTGTGTGTGTGTGTGTGTGATTTTTCACTTTCTGTCTCTCTGTCTAAGGAAAAAAAAAAAACTTTCAGTTTGTATACTGCCCCCTGGACATACTGGAGACTTAAGCCTCCAAAGTGTGGAGCAGCCTTACTCCCAAGGTTTCACTGGGCTCAGTCTACATAGCAGCTCTCAGTTTGGCATCTCATGCATAAAGTTCTCCCAGGTCAATGTTGCACGATGTAGTTCTACAGTTCTGGGGTCTTGAGAGTCCCACCTCTGCAGCTCCACTAGGCATTGTTCTCATGAAACTCTCTGCAGCAGCTCTGACTCTATACTTTCACCACGAATGCCTCACATTTTTTTCTGGCATTGTCTTATTAGGGGCTTTCTGCAGTGGCTCTACGTCCGTGACAAGTCTTTGCCTTGCCGCCCACCCGCCGTTTGTCTGAAACGTTCTTCGAAATCTAGGTGAAGGTTGCCATACTGCCACAGTTCTTGAGTTCTGCACACCTGTACACTTACCACCACATTCATACCAGCAAGGTCTGCCACTTGTAGGTTCCAAAGTGGTGAGCAGAGTGATGGCCACATGGTGAGTCAAGGCTTACCTGGAGCTGATTGAACCAGTCAGGGCTGAGGAGTGCTGCACCAGGACGCAGGGAAGAGTCCTGAGGCGGTGCAGGGTAGTGAGCCCTCACGGGGCCCTCCTGAAAGCATTCTGCTCTCTCAGGCCTCTGGCTCTCTGATGGAAGGGGCATCCTTAAAGTCTCTGAAGTGTTCCTTGCACATTTTCCCCATCATCTTGATGATAAGCACTTGGCTCCTTTTCTAGCTGTGCTGATTTCTTAAGCCAGCCGTCACTTGGCCATACTCAACACTGGCTCCTGAGCACATCTTACTATTGCATGGTCAACCTGCGAGTTTTCCAAATTTGTCTGCTCTGCTTCCCTTTTCATTGCAGATCCTATCTTTAAATCATACTTTTGCTCTTTAATTCATTGTAAAGAGTTAAAAGTAACCACAGAACTCCTATATTTTGCTTAGAAATGTTCAATGCCAGATAGTCATCACTTTTAAATCTGGCATTCCACAAAGCCTTAGGGCATGATACAGTGTAGCCAAATTACAAAGGTGTAGCAAGGATGACTTTTTCTCTAATTTTCAATAAAAAAAATCCTGGTTTTCACCTGAGATCTTATCAGAATGACCTTTGTTATCCATATTTCTATAAACATTCTGGTCACAGCTACTTAACCAAGTTTTTTAAAGTTTCAATCCATTCATAATCTCTTCTTTTGACCCTCCACCAGAATTTCCCTTAATGTCTTATAGGCTTTTTCTAGCTTTATCCAGATTCTTCCATCCCCTGCCATTATCTCAAGCCACTTCCACATGTTAAGGTATTTGCTATTAGTAATACCCCCCACTTCTCAGTATATATGATATACTGATTTCAAAATTTAATGACATAGGCAAGTTGAATGTAAAAATATATATGAGATATATTACACAAACATAATTTTTTGAGAGATTTTTGCTATAGGGTGTGTGCATTTGTCTGACAGAGACAGAGAGATAGAAAGCAAGAAATCACCCCAGGGGAGATGGCCACGCCACAATCCCTTCTCCTCCATTCTCCTCTCAGGATTTTGGGCATGCACGCACCTGCGCCTGGCGTGAGTTTAAGCCACTGGGTCCGAGACTCAAACTGTGGTCAACTACATGGGAGTCCAGCAACATAGCCATTACACTAACTGCTGGTCCCACAAACATAAATTTTTAAAAAGTAGGAGTTGATGTTACTATCACCTCAAAAAGATTTTACAGAAAAGAAAGTTACCA